AAATGATGTGCAGTATTCCATACAATGTATAATCCTAACCCATCTTTATCTTTTATCCAGACAGCAGTCTGGTACAGTGGTTAAGAGCCTGGATTAGGATTGGGAAACTTTGTTTCTAGCCCACTGTCAACCATGCAAATTCACTGGATGACTTCAGGACAGTCTCTGGGTCTGATTCCAACCTACCAGACAGAGACCTTATATGTAGAATTTAGAGGAGAAAATATAATGTATACCATCTTGTTCCTGGAAAACAGAAGGGATACATATATAAAATTACAAATAAACAATTAATTTCCCTCTCTTATTCCTAATGCAATGGCATTTCTCAGCCAAGAAATAGGAATACTTATCAGTAACACTCTTAGGTGTTTCTGGTTTAGAATATAATCTATCTGAGCAAAAAGGAAGGGGGAAAAAAACCAAGAGACCAATTAATGCTGCAATTTTTTAATAGTTTTGTTCTGCAGTTTGACCACAGCTTCTTAAGAACAAGCATAAAATTTGTATTTAAAACTAACAATAGCACTTAGAGCAACATTTTCCTTTAAAAGTATTGCAAGAACAGACCTTAGGTCTAGAAATTAAAACATCACATTTACTCAGTTAGGAGGAGGCAGGTACACAACTGTTAAAAGTCTTTTTCTGCATATAACCACAAGTTACATTAAAATTAAATAGCAATCTGATTAGTATAAAAGCAGCTTTCCCAATCTTGTGCCTTGAAGGTATGTTCAACTACAGTTCTTGTTATCCATGCTGATCGGGAAAGCTGGGAGCTCTAGGGAAAAAAAGGCAGGAATTTTCCAGATTGGGATTAAATTGGGTTAAAAGGAAAGTCTCTTAAAGCAAAACAAGAATCATGTAACTTCACATAAACAGCTGTTGAAAAATTGCAATAAAAGCCACAACATATTTTTCCCTTTTGAAAACATTTTAAAAGCAAACTTTAAATAAAAGGCTAAATATCAAGAATAGTGCTGTATTTTATTGTCATAAAAAAACACTCTTGAAACAAACTGAATACATACCAAGCAACCAGGGTACATTTTTTAAAAATGTGAAATATGACTCATTGGGAAAAAGCAGCAGCCTTATTGGGCCATTACATATTAGATGTGGAAATTAGCATTACTATGTAACTAAACAGTGTGCTGAAAGCAGGGCACGAAGCAGAAAGATGCTTGTGAATCCTGCCTTTCCATAGCAGCCTCTTTAGGCCATCTAAAATGCCCTTAAGAGACTTTATTGAGAGGCAACCGCAAGCTTTGCAGGAGGGGAAGTAAATTGAGATTGACCACCACTTTCCTACAGAAATGTTTCTCCAAAAAGTCTTTTTGTTTTGTGACAGGGAATCAATAGCTAATAGAACAGGTGTCTGTAAATACTATGACATTTTCTGAATCAAAGTCAGCTAACCTAAAGATCATTTCCTGGCAATGTGCAAATTGCTTCTGTACTAGAGATAAAGCGATGATTCCTCGGTTGAAATATCTTTTTGCTTGTTGGGTAATAGGCCTTGGGTGCCATTTCCCCTGAAAAACATATGTATGTCTTTTTGTTTGCCCTAAAATATGAATGACTTCTAACAATACATTCTATCATACCTTCCACCACTGCAGCTTCACAGGCTGGCAATTCTGAAAGGAGCAGCATCTTGTTTGGTCCTCAGGCAATACACAGCAAATGTTATTGCAATTCACAACTTGCACCTGGCATAACATTCACACAGATGCAAGCTTTCTGTACTGTGCAAAGCATTTCCATAATGCAGGGTAAACACAAAACTGAGCAATATATCAAACCAATAAAACTTAGAATTTCATGTCCTTGTTTAATTAATATCAATTAATTAGGCATGTTTTTATGAACCTAATTGCATCACATGTACAAAAAAAGAGGAACAGAACAGTCAGTTTGTAGTTGAAAACCTCTCATTACAGGGAGGGCCGTATATCAGTTAGTAACTTAGTACAGGACATAAGTATTGTCTGAATCTATGAGGATATTAGCAAAACTCTAATGAAGGTACCTATAAAAATTAAGGTAAGCTAATATAACTTTCCCAGCCTGATCTCTTCCAGATGTATTCTACTGAAACACCCATAATTCTAACCAATTATCTAGTAAGAATAGAGTAAAAACATATTTCTAAACTTCTTTGACCATGATAATTGCCCTGTAAAGATCATCTTCAGATCAGTCCTTCCCATAAATTGTTAAGTGATGATTTCAGCTCATGGCAGTCAAACTTTACTGTTCTTAACACATGTACTTGTAACTTTGATCTGCCTGAAGCTAGAAGATGGGCAAATTACTAATAGGTATGGGGGGGGGGGACGAATTGTAGCCTACCCATTATGACAACAGTAGAGTGTGTGTGGCATTATCCATTAATTTGTAGTCCCAAATTGTAGCAGTTAGGGAATAATTTTAAAATATGAGCAGAGTAGGATAGTTCTACTGAGTTAAATCAGATTCAAAATAAGAAACCCAGTAACCTCAATGAAGAGGTCTCCCATTGTTGGATCATAGGATACTGAATGAGCTTCTTAAGGAGGGAAAAGACATGAGAGTTGTTTTCAGTGTTAAAACCTGCTTCATTTTTCTAAATATCTGCTTTGCCCATCAAGATAAGACCTCAAAGCAGATATTGGTAAACTTGCCCTGCCAAACAATCATGCTGAGATCAGTATCTGCCAAATAGAAGAGTGTTTTTCTGGTGTGTAATCCAGAAACTAAAACTCATCTCATTCTCCAAACGAATATCAAAGAATCCAAAATGTACTACTTAGATTCAGTAGGATAATGTTTGTAATATTTAAGTCCTCAACAGGAAATGAGAGAACCTGAAGAGGGAAATACAGAAAAATTGTAATCCACGTTCTTCAGGAGTCATTCTAATTTAAAGCATTTCAAATATCAACATGCAACATTCAGACAAACCTTTTTTAAAAAAAAAATCACACACAACTATAGGAAAAAGGCAGTTTTTTGCATCAAATAAAAAACAGCAAGTACATGGAGTGGGCAATGTAGATATGTAGATATATTGTGTCAGGGATGCTGAAAGTTGTTTCAGATCCTCTGAGAGTGCACTTTTGCATTTATTGTGAACATACACTATATATGTAAAAAGATGTACACTAAATACAAACACGTACCCCTTAAAAACACCACTTTGAAAATGTTAAAAGTAGAAATGGCATCTTTTAAAAAATTTCATTTGTAAAATTATACACCTTATATTTTTCAGGGATGTTTTAAAGCCAGGTTCATAATGTAGTATTTAAAAATATTGGTATTTAAAAAACAATGGCTCATGAGATCTGGTCCATACTGAGATTGATAGGGAATAATAAATAATGGGTTGAATACTGGCCCAATTTTATTAAGAACAGGAAAAAATCAAACTAGTAGATACCCACAGTTAAAATTGACTTTTTAAAAAAGTGTCAGTATAAACATACTCACAAAAGTATCATTATAAATAAAGATTCATGTATCAATTACTGTCTATAGATTAGCTGAAAGTGGTTTGTTCCAGGCTTTCTTTTCCCTTCCTTATATCATTTGGATATTTTGTAATAAAATAAAAATATTTGGATTTCTCACTTTCTGGATGCATTCCATTGCAAATTCTCTTACAAAACAAACAAAAGATGCGTTATCAAGTTGTAAATCCTTTTGTGCTAAAACAGCAGAATATTTTACAATATTAAAAATGGATTTCATTTTGTTCTACCCATTGGATAGGACATGTGCATAATATATTCATGAGCACGTAAAACATCAAAAGCAGAGGAGATAAGCGGCAAAAAAAAAGAGAGCACCATTTTAAATGAGGCACAACAAAAAGGGAGCATAATGTTAGCTTGCTCGGAAGAGTCATTTGACCCCTTCAGAATCTTTACATTGACTTCAATGGGTGTTCTTGATTCAGACAGTGGGGAAGAGGGACTCTGTCTGCTGAGCAGGAGGCTCCTAAGTTACTTTAGAAACTACAAACATGCAGAATCCTTCCAACTACATCCTCATCTACATACATGCATTAATGTGCAGAATATCCCCAGAGGAACAGAAGAGGCCAATCCACCAAAAGTGTGGGGGGGGGGGAACAGAGGGAAGCACAGGAATGTCCACAAGGTCCTTAGCACATGTCACATTGTCTCCACACAATCTCACAAACTATTCAAAGCAGCCTCAAAATAGCAACAAATCCCCTCCCATCCAATTACCTGGAGGCAAATCCCCTCCATTTTTACAGGGCTCACTTCCAAGTAAGAAAGTTTAAGGCTAAAGCATTTCTAACAGCCAGCCCAGTCAGTGAATGCTTTGGTAGAGTTAACAAGATGCACAGTGATGAACTTCTCAAGTTCATCACTAAGGTGCTTTTTCAAAAGTCAACTGGATTTTGTTTTTTCCTTGAACATGTTTCGCTTCTCATCCAAGAAGCTTTTTCTGAAGATGTTTCACTTCTCCAAGAAGCTTCTCCAGAATTGAAGATGTTTCTTGGATGAGAAGTGAAATGTCTTCAAGGAAAAACCAAAATTCAGACGCCTTGGAAAAGCACCTTTGGGAGAACTATGACCTGGATGACTGAGAATCTCCACAGACATTCTGAAGTTCATATTTGGTTTTACCTTCAATATTCCCCTTTAACTTCCCATCTGTAGCCTTCTTCAACTTGGTGGCCTCTTAATGAAGAGAAATATACTTCCCATTTTCCCTACATCCAACACTTCTGGTTGGAAGTGATTTTAGCATAAGGAATATTTTACAATACAAGATTGCCACAAGACTTTCCAGAAGGCCATTTTCCTTGTGGGTATGCCAGTCTACTGTAATTTAATAATCTAGTAGATGGCCAGAGACATCACTTACAAGGTTCACAATGTATTATAATATAAATATCATAGATATAATGCAAAGCTCATATCTCAATTATGTAGGTAAAAAATAAGCATTCTCAAATGAAGGATTGCAAGGAATACAAAATAATAAGGTAAATTTAGCAAAGCATTTAATGGAAATAAATACATCAAATTCTAGAAATGTGTTTCTGGATCATAGAATAAAGTAAAAGTAGTAATAAAAACTTTATTAAGAAAACAAAACAAATTACTCTCAAATAGTTTAATCCTCAGGGGACAAAATTAGGACAGACAATATCTACTATTGATTTGATCCTCAGATACTGCACTTTTCATTCCTTTTGCCTTCCATTTCCCTTTCCCTCCAAAGTATATGCCTAAAATATTTTCTTGCACAACAAAATGATGTATTCATTCATTTCCAGCCTTATCACTTTTTTTGAATTGGACATGCCAAGTTATTTTAAACAGAAACATATATGAAATTAAACTATTGCCCCCCCTTCAAGCAATTCTGACAGCATTCTTTCATTGAAATGATTTTGCTGATAAGCAGTTAAGATAAATATGCAATATACTTCTCTTTGTAGATTCTCCCTCTTATGTCTTTTTTCTCCCAAAGAAATATGTCAAAACAACATTGTTAATCATCAGAAAAATAGCAAAAATTACTTATTTTCAGTGACCTGATGGAAAAACTGGTCTATTGTATTTAATTAAAACTGTTAAGCCTAATTGAAAAGGGACAAAAGATGAACAAAATAATTTCAAATATGAATTTAATTTGTGAAGCCATTGCCCTCTCCAAAGGTATAGAACTTCCATTCTTTTTAATAGCTCACAGGTATTTTTGTTATATTGACTTTGTTGTTTTGACTTTAAAGTGAAATAAAACTAATTTTAATTTTTTTTAAAGTGCTTCTTCTACTGCAAATTTCAAATATCTGTTAAAAATCATCTTTATCTACATATGAATTTCTTTAAGGTGGATTAAATGTGTACTTTTTTGTAATACCCTTGATAAGGGTCTTGTTTCATTTATTTTTCCATTTATTTATTTCATTTACATTTATAATTTGTAATTATTTGTTCAATTTATTTTTTTACCTTAGTGGCAATTAAGATTATTTTTGAATTTTGGTGAAATACATCATGGTTGAAAATCAGCATTAGCCTATTCTCCAAAGCATGTTTTCTATTTGTTGTCACTGTTCATTGAGTACTGGAGGAAGGCAATGTCAGAAGCAGTAAAACCACTAACCTGTAAAATTAGTATATTTAAAGAGCACTGAACCCAAGTATCCATTATCCCCTAAAGAACAGCATATTTCAGGGCTTAGCAAAAGTAAAGCTAGAGACGCTGTTCAGAGATGAAACCTGATGTTTTTTTAGATGTTAGATACTAAGGGAGAAGATTAGGAAACCTGATATCTTGAGGATGTTTTCATAGGTCATGTCTCCCGAATAATGACAGAACAACTCAGTGAGCAATTTGTACAGTATTTGGTGACTGAAGTTCACAGAGAGTGGGAATGGAGAATATTCTCTTTTAAAACAGAATAATACTTTATTTGTGGATTAACTATCTGCTTTGACAAATTGACAAATGGAAAGGAGCAAAATGCACTTAACTACTGTTTTATGGTTTACCATGCAAAATATTCAATTGTATGACATTAAGAACTGCAGTGTGCATTGTCATATCACATAAATTAATTGTGGACAAACAATGATTTAATGAACTGAGCCTTGTACCTCTTCTCTGTAAGATATAGAGGAACAATATTTCAGAAGAAATATCCAGAAATATTTCAGAAGAAGGTTCTCATACAGAAAACAAGTCATGACTTATCCTAGCTAGACAAATGTCATGGACTTCCCTCAAATCTATCCAGAAGAGGAAATTCATATTTATATTGTTCCTCTTCAAACCATAGAGCACTGCACCTAGAGTGTAGACCATACTCCCTTTTAAGTAATAGGGAACGTACACTTTTCAAAACGACAGACATGAAATTAAGAAGTTTCTTCAAGTAACAGTAATCGGATTTCTTTCTTTATCAATTAAAGGACACTAATTTTACCAAATTATTTTTACATCTGTACATTGAACTAGGAGATAAAGATTACATGCATACAAAGATTGAATTATATAAAACAAAAGAAAAAAATCCCGAATGAAAAGACTTGAATCAAAGCAATTGAACCTACTCTAATGTATAAAGAGTCCCTGGACAGTGAGAAAAAACTGACACAAACCAAAGAAAAGAAGTTAGACAAGAAGAAGAGAACATATATGGCAAAGATGAAATAATGGGAATTTGACTTGAGCTGAAATAATTCATGCATACTCAAAAATGCTTCTGCAGTGTAAAGCTGAATTCCCTCAAGTCATCAGGAATAAACAGGCATTCTAAACCGGCTTTACTATTAATTAAATCCATGATTCATCTCTTGGAGAACATTATAAACCTATGTTTGAATTGACCAAGCATGAAAGGTAGCTGCATAAACAAAACAAAATATTAAAAATCTATTGATTTTACTGAAACATCTTGTGGAACAAGTACCTTTGGCTATCCCCACAAAGGGAGGGGTGCATTTCATTTTAAACACAAGCATTATTGAATAAGAGTTCCATATATTTTAAAGGAATATTGCAGAGCAATTTCTATGCACCGCATCTCCCCTTCTCCATCCCTATTTTAAACAGAAATGCAATTACTTCTTTTGAACAAATTTAACACTGCACAGTATTGCAAGTCTAAATTCCATTTATCTGTAGAAAGAGAAGAAATAATGGTGTAGTGATTGATTTATTTCAAGATAACACAAGGACTTTTCAGGACTTAACTATGGATATATTTTCTATAAAATGTCGTGAGAATGGGTGGTTTCTATATCAAAAATATCTGAATACTACAATGCCCAGATTGGACTGTATTAACTATATTATGAGAACAAGATTCACCAGAGGTGAAAGAAGTAAGAATGGAGAACAGAATTAACCAAGAGTTAAGAGATACAATGCCAGTTATAATTAGGATCCAAAGATGGGGCAGATTCACTTTATTTAGCAAAGCCAGAAATGCAACTTTTTACTATCACTAAGAAAAAGCAAACAAAAACAAAGACCAAATTAATTACATTTGAGATTACATATGGGAACATAATTGACCTTGCCTATGTTGTTTGCTCAGTTTTTTGAAATGTAGGAGAAAGTGAGGAAATGCTAAAACAACACAACATTCAAAACAAGGATCTGCTGTTGCTAGGATCAGGCAATGCAATTAAAATAAGGCTTACAGCTCGAGAGGTCAGAAAATACATACTTCCCTGTGACCCCCGCTCCTTCCAAAATACATGCTAAGCTAATAAAGAAGATTTGTATGCCATTTATATGCTAAACTGTCAACACCCCTCTCGTCCTTGCTAATAATTTTATTTATAAAATCTATATGCTACTCATCTTGCAGTTCGAGGCAACCCTGGGTAGCTTTTAATAATGTTCTTCACACACTTCAAGATGAGAGTCCAAACATTGGTCTAAAGGGCCAATGTTATATGGAAAGTTATACAGCTAACTGGAGCATTCACACAGCATATACTCCAATGCTCAAAACATTAGGATCTCCCCAATCCTCATTTGTCCCCCTACCTCCTAAGATGAAGGTTTGGTGCTTTCTAGACATCTCGGATGGTAGAAACACATTCTGCATCAAAAGGTACAGAAGGCTTATAAAATGAGATAGCATTGTACTATTGTAAACGTGATCCTTCTAAAAAAGTAGTAATAATAAAAAAATTGAAAAGTAGTTGAAGAGTATAATATATAATTTGTTATGATAAATGATAAATGCCCCCCAAATAATAAAGTTTCAAAAGAGTTTACTTATAAAATGTTTACATTATTTGTTCACTAAATTGAAGTATGAACCGAGTAATATCATTTTTAAGCTCTTCATATAAAAAGTAGTATAAGTATTTAAATAAAGAGTATTCATTAATTTACAAAATAGAAAACAGAGCAAACACTGCAGTTTTATGCCGATTAGGCAGGATTTAGAGGCTCGGCAAGAAAAAAATCCCAAGATCACCACAGCGTAATTTTGAAAAAAGCCAAAAAATATAACTGATACAGAATCATCCCACAATTTAAGATACTATATGTATGGGCTGTGATTGCCATATATAAGAAAGGGGTATGGAGGGGTGGGGTATGTACCATCCCCACTTCAGAAACAATACATTAGGCCCCAAGTCATTCATTTAGAATTTCTCACCTTTGTCTATTTAACACAAAATTAACACAATACCTTAGTAGCTTGCAGATTCATGCCTTTCTTTCCCCACCCCAAGTAATACTGCAAAATATGCATCCATATACTGTGTTTATTTAGATGAAATCTACTAAATAAAAATTATTCAGTTTAATAAACATGCAAAGTTTTGCCCTTATATTTTAGTCACAAACATATTCCACAATTGAAATATATTTGTTCCTACTACAGAAATTTCAAACTCTCACATTGCAAAAGTTAGGGATAATGGTCCTGAAAAATCTATGTCCTTGGAATTATCTCTTCTTTCCAAAATGAAGGTATCAGGGCATAGTTTTTATATTTTGTCTTTATTGTTATATATTTAGGACCTAAACCAATTTTGTTGTATTTAAGTACAATGACAATAAAGATTATACTTAATCTTTAAGTATTGACTTATCAATACAACCAAGGTTTCAATGTAAAAAATTGCAATATAGATTTGGCTTAGAAAACTAATGTAGAACAATGTGTTATCACTGTTGTGTTCTGTTGCATACAAATAAATCTCATCTCCATCTCTTGGAAATGTTTTTAAATCTTTTGCCCTTGCAATCTCTCTGCTTCCACGAGGTCAAATTAGCCCCTTAAGTACTTATGCTTTTAAATATGCAACACAGAAATTTCTGTCTCTTTGAGTCTCATCAGCAACAGGCTCTATATTGACATAAGTATAATCAAGCACACCTTCATGACAATGTAGTTTTTGATGTTAAAGAGTTTAAATGGTTTGATCAAATGTGTTAGTTTATAATACAAATTGTCCACTTAATTGTCCTTTAATATCACTATCTCAGAGATTTAGACTCAAATTGCCTGTAATTGAGATTCGAAGGCTGCTACATGCCTTTGGAAAGATCAATACACTTGATCAGTGAAAACTAACCAAATTTACTTCACAAATACCTTAAACCTCACATAAAAAAATCATTTAGCTTCTTCCTTTCCCAACCTTATGATCCCTGTGCAAATTATCTGAAGTTATGGAACATAAAGCATGCAGAGAAAGAATCCAATATCTATACCTACGTTGCACAAGGATACTAATGGAGTACATCGTAAGAAGCTGAAAGAATAACGTACATTGCTGTGCTTCATACCCAACAAACATATTGGCTAATTCTTGGAAATGCGCATATAGGATGACAAATTGAGTTAATGAGACTTAATTTAGAACATTTAGGTTGTAAGCCTGTATGTGGTTACAATATATCAAAAGAAACCACAGGACTCATTGTTGCATAGTCATAGACAAATTGCTACAAGTAATCTGAAAAAGGGAGAAAAAAAGTGGAGGAGATAAGCTTTAATTGTGTGATTTAAATGTAGATTAAAGCCATTTATTTCTATATAACTTTTTTGGCAAGTGGAGAACTTTTGAGGTTACAGCTAGACTTCTGAGATCCTAACCCACTATGTTGTACATGATGAGGAATACTTTCTTAAGAAAGGTTTCAGAACAGATGAAATAATGATATTTGTTAATTAAGAGAGTGCTTATATTAATTATGTTACTAATCCCTGTGTGTGCTTATTCTTTGAATACAGAGAACTTATACTAAGTTTTTTTTTATTTGAGTAAAAAATGATAAGAATAACTAACTGGATTCTAACCTGAAAATAAATAGCAAGACCCTCTATCTTAATTAAAAGATGACCTAAGTAAAAAAAAGAGTTACATTACACACATACACAACTTATTTATAACATTTGATATTTAGGTGGTTGAGAGCTGCACAGAACTGTAATTATGTATCAAAAGAAAATTTTTATGGACTGCATTTTTCAAAAGTTGGGATTAATTATGCCTTGCATATATAGGTATAAAATTACTAATACATACAATTTTGAATAAACTGCTGGTTTGTCTATAAATGCTCCTTTTTGAAAAAAAATGCAAAACATGAAATTAACTTTATTACAATAATTTTATCATGTAGATGTGGCTTGCATGTTATGCATTGCTAGCTCCTGGACAAGGCCAACCCATTATCAGACAGACAGATAGACAGACAATCAATTTTGAAAGGGTCATAAAACGGACAATACTACTCTATTTTGACTGCCAGGTTGCAGAAAAGTATGGCATTTCCTACTGTAACAACTTTTAGTCAGCTTTTAGTAAGATAAATATTGACATAGGGAGGTTGCCATTTGATACTCCACCTTACAAAATGTTTTCATAAGACTTATCACTACAACTGATCCTTCCATAACATTTCATCTGGATCCCCAAAGCCCCAAATACTCAGTTCCAGGTTTAAGCTGACAGCATTTTCACCATTAAAAAAGACAAATAATTTGGAACTTTAAAAGCCCCAAATACTCCACACGTATTAATCTATCTCATTAAAAATATTTGCCCTATGAAATATCATTTGAAGATGCTGTTTCTGAAGCAACACTCTAGAATTAACATATTTCTAAGCTCCCATTAATTGTTATTCTAACTCCTAAACAGACTGCTTTCATATGTATTTGAATTAAAGCTTTTAAACAACATTTCTAGAAAATATAAATATGACAGTAGTAAGAGAAGATAATACAGAGGTGCCTGGTTCCAAAAAGAGTTGGAAGGAAAAAGGGAACAAAAGAAACATCAAATCAACCTACTGAGATTATTATGGCACAGTTCCAAAATGGCATTATTTAAAGTAAGTTCCAGGAATTACATTGCACAAGGAAAGGCTCATTTCTAAATTAAGCATCAGTTCCTACACATTGTAGCCCATTTTGAATCCTAATACAAGAACTATCCAGAGCTTTCAGCAATAATGGGACCAAAATAGTAAAACATTGGGGGTGGGGGGTGGGGAATAGAGCTTAGCAGTTTGAGCGAGTTTTCTAGTAATCTAAAAATTATGTCAGTGCTTAAATTAATATTGGGTTTAACATCAAATAAAATGACTTTTTATGAAATATCATTTTGAATAAATAGTACATAAAATTCAATTTCAAGCATTTAATCATTATACCCACTTTCCATCTACATATTCAAGAGTTTCCAGTTAAGACTGACAACTTCCAAAGTCAAAAAGTAGGGTTGACTTAATTATCCATTCATACAATGAATTTTTTTATAACTATAAACTGTATTAATATGAGTTTTGCTCTTTTGCTGTCTTGGCTAACCAAAGTTATAATTTAAAATATGTCATATATGACTATGTCATTCTAAGTTTTAGTTCAGAGAAATTTCATTTGGAAATCAGGGTTTCAAAAATAGTCACTGAATTTCAGTCTTACATTTTTAAATGGGCAACACCAAATAATATCAAAAAATTCACATCCATTGAAAGAAACAATGTTTACCAAATATGAGAACCTGAAGATGCCAACTTGTAATGGCTGTTTCACATAAATATCACAGAGTTTTTACAGTTATCACATGACAGATACGTGAATCAGCAGAAATTACAAGGATCAGAAAAATAGCTTCTAAATCATGACTACATAATCAGGACATAAACAAGATTCTACCCAATTACAAACATAGCATTCTATCCTTACAACAGAATTGTTGTTTAAGGATTTTTTTCAAGCTAGTCATTGAGTTCAGGAGCCACTTTAAGATTTATGAAAGCTTCCAGACAGAGATGGAATTAAAACACACATCCACCACACATGCTATTTTGGCATAAAAACTCTGCATAGATCAGAAACTGAGTTCAGATTCTAGATTTCAATCTAATTTACTTCGAAGTCCTCCGAAAAGAGAAAAAAAATTCTGAAAACAGAACAAAGGCATTATTATAATGCTGTACTTGTTAGACTATTTCAATTAGGAAAATGTTGCCTATAAAAACCATAGAAAAGAGAAATTTGAAGGAAACTTGTGTGCAATTGCAATTTTGCCCAGAATATCAGAACTCTATAGATTTTCTTTTGTTTTCTTTTAAAATTCATTTGCTCACCATATTTGAAGTGCCTGTTGTGCTTTAGCTGTGCTTTTGAATAGAAAACCATTTTGTTCAAAACTCTTTCAATTTACTAAAAACACATAATCAAGCATAAAAGCCAATAACTGAGGATTCCAAAACAGATCAAAATTGCTGGAATACTTTAGAGTCCAAGTGTAAAAACTGGAGCAGTCCTAAAGTGGCATTTAAGAGGATAAGAAATTTCAATTAAGAAAAAAAGATCTAAAACATTATGTGATTGCTTGCACAATAGATTTAAAATCAGTTTGATTCAGAACAACATTAACCAATTGTAAAACCTGTTAATACTCTGAAGCAGTTCCTGGTAGTATTCTGCAATCAATTATTCCCACATTATCAGATAAGAAATGCTGACTGATAACAGATCATTCTCTTTAGAAAGTAAAACACAAAAAAGTAATATTAAACAACGTAATTATAATTTAACAGCAGAATACGTGTTGTACTTTTAAAATCATTTATTGTATGATGTAAGTAAGGCTATATGACTGAATATATTATGGACTACACTGAAGGTAAAAATTTGCAAAAGCTTTAAGTACTACTGACACTGAATTGTGTAAAAAAAAAGGGTGACAAGCAGTTAAGCTATAGCTGTAATTACAAAAAAAAAGTAAATGTGGCATTTAATCTGTTCTAGTGAAACAAATGGCTTATAGCTAAAAATCACCAAAAGAAGGTGCTTCTGTATTTTCACATTTGCTTTCTTCCATCTACAAAATTTCTAAGACAATTTGCTGATACCCTATTTGAATGCAAAATTATTGCAAACAGTAACATGTTAAAATGTCTTCTATCATTTATTCTCTGTTATGTAGAATGATAAGAAGCCTATTTAAATCTGTATGCCCCAAAATGGGGATCATCAACAGAGGCCTGGGCAAAGTCATGGGGGTTAATAATGAAAAGGTAAAAAGACACCTTATAGAAGAACCTTATAGGTAAAAGTTCCCTCATAGATATTTAAAACATGAAAGATAGTGCAAATTTAACACACTAGTATCACAACACAAATTAATTCCTTGTATTCATTTAGGGTTTTTTTCCTAAAAAAATTGGCACACAACATAAATGTGGAAACAGGAAAAAAAGAAATCATATATTCTGGGAGAAGGGGGAGAAAGCAAACTGGCCAATTTTGCCCCCATTTATCTTTCTTACTCTCCTCTTTCAGCCTTTAACTTATTATAAAACAGGCCAATCGAGGCATGTTTTTGTGCCTAAGTTACTTCTTAAAATTAAATAATTCAAATATGTTATTAAAAAAATAATATATTTTTTAAAAAACACTGCTCATGGCCAAACTGAATGGAAGGTTGCAATTATGTCAAAACAATTTTCATGCAATTCCCCTTAAAGGAATCGGAAATAAAGAACAGCTTTGTACGTTTGGTTTTGACTAAATTGTGTCACATGAAACTTTTAACAACATTGTGCACAGGGGCATAGAAGCTTCCCTTATGCTCCTGTTTGATTCTCCTGTCTCTTATCAAGTGCACATGGAAAAAGAAACTAGACAAAGTTTCCTGGTTTCCTGTCTTTGTTTTCAATAGGGACTATTGTGCTCTCTGAATTGTTCTGCTGAAACTGAAGTCTGCTCCCCCTCTGTGATGAAGAAGGCATGTTGCTTTGCTGGTGATGGAAAAAAGAGGAACCCGGATAATGCCCCATGACCTCACTGTAGGTTGGGGGTGGTCCTTCCATCCTTCCATTACTGCTATAATTGGTTGCACTTATTCCCGAATTGCTGCTTGGTGGGCAAGGGCCCGCATTGTATACTGAAACATCTATCAAGTCGCTGTCAAATATAGTTCTGTTTGGTGGTGCCCTCACGGATTCTCTGTTAAGTTCCATCTGTTGTTCTGGATCCCGAAGCTGCAGAGTGCAGGGCCCTTGGTATGGTGGTGGCTCTTCACCATCAGAAAGAGAGATTGTAGGAGGCAGATCAATCTCGTGCTGTACATAGGGATAAGTTGGCTGGAAGCGACTGAAATGTTCTCGCTGCAGAAAAGATGGAGCGGTAAATCTGTCCCTGGAACGTGGGGCATACATTATCTGCAATGTAAAGCAATCAGTATAGTCAAACCTAAAAAATATTCAGAAATGCAGGCAAAATTTGGATGCACAGACACATACACACAAATACATTTTTAAAAATCCAATTTGGTGTTGAAACAATTTCAGAGGAAATTGATTGTTGTAGTTGCACATTTACTTTAGCTTCAGTTTCCCTGTGATACTATATTGACAAATACTATGGAAAGTACTTGGGAGATTACACTGGAATATGCTTTCTTAAGGAATTGTTCTGATTTTAGATAATTTTGTAAAGCAGTATAAGATCTCATAAGGAACCAAAGATGATTAGGGGTCTGGAGGCTAAAACTAGAGGAGACATGATAACAGTGTTCTGATATCTCAGAGGCTGCCACAAAGAAGAGGGAGTCAAACTATTCTCCAAAGCACCTGAGGGTAGGATAAGAAGCAATGGGTGGAAACTAATTAAGGAGAGAAGCAACTTAGAACTAAGGAGAAGTTTCCTGACAGAACCATTAATCAATGGAACAACTTGTCTCGAGAAATTGTGAATGTTCCAATACTGGATGTTTTAAAGAAGATGTTAGATATCCATTTGTCTGAAGTGGTGTAGGGTTTGCTGCCCAAGCAGGGGGTTGGATTAGAAGGCTTTCAAGGTCCCTTCCAACTCTGTTATTCTATTCTATTCTATTCTATTCTATTCTAATTTCTCTTCCTTCTACAATGCTTTTTAATTCTGAAATCTATATGATTATAGTCAAGAGCAGCAACATAATTGCCACAATGCCACATGTGACTTCCTTACTACATTGCTTCCCTCCCCTCCCCATTAGAAAATCAAATAACTGAAATTTCAAAATAAGGAACCTCTGGTGCTCCTTTCTGAGGCTTACCTCTGAAGGTCCTTGTCGAGAAGATGAATTGTCAGAAGGCCACAGACACCTCTCCTAGGACACAAAGAAAAAAAAAGAAAAGCTTCACCATTTAAGAGCTACATGCTACTTACACGTTTTACAGGTAGTCCTCAACTTACCACCCACATGACCATATTTTGGATGCCTTGCCTACATTTACACCCATTTGCAGCATCCTGTGCTCATGTGACCACAATTTATGACACTTTTACTGGAAACCAATGCTTATTTCTGCTTTCCAGAAAAAACTGCCCCATACTGATCAATGGATTTGTTTTAATTACTATCATGTTCATTTGACTGCTGCATTAAATAGCATAAAATCATGTCTGGTGACTTGCTTTATGACCATCATGAATTACAACTGTACCTAAACTTCAACATTACACTGCACAATTTCTACTGAAGCATACGCATTTCAGATGTAATGTCATGGGGATGGCATTAAAAACGTATTGTCAGGTCATGTTTGTTACACTATTAAATGTAAGTGGAGTTGGCCCTTGTAACTTCTTAGAGTATGAACGTTACTGGAATTTTCATACTTTGTGGCATAATAGCTTGGGGCTTATTCTGTGGAGACTGTCCCAAAGATGCTTTTTCAAGAGGCAACTGGACTTTGTTTTTTCTTTGAAGATGTTTCACTTCTCAGCTTCTTCAGCTCTGACTGGATAGTGAAGATGAAGCTGAAGAAGCTTCTCGGATGAGAAGCAAAAGATCTTCAAAGAAAACCAGAAAGGCCAGTTGCCTCTTGAAAAACATCTTGGAACAACCATGACCTGGATGACTGAGAATCTCCATAAACACTGTGGTGACTGTTTTTTGATCTAAGCCCTGTGATGCTAAATCTACCGTGTCACCTCATGGTTGCTGCTGTATGGCAATATTTTCAGGAAGGACTTATTTTCCGGGGAAGGTTTATTTTAGCGCATGCACCCTAACCCTAACCCGACTGGTCTTATTAACCAGGGAGGTCTTATTTTCAGAGAACAGGGTATATACTTCAATTTTATTTCTTATTCAAGCTCATAACATAATTCAGTGGCAACTGACTATAAGCACTGTACATTCCAATCCCCAAATAGAGTAACAAAATATAAAATATAACATAATTTAACCAAGAAATAAGATAAAGCATCATTTAATATGTATGTGTAAGACACACACACAGAGACACACACACACACACAGAGAGAGAGAGAGAGAGAGAGAGAGAGAGAGAGAGAGAGAGAGAGAGAGAGATTTCATTTTTCTAAGCAGTCCCTAAATACCTCCTAGAATAGTTGGGTCTCAATGACTGTCCTAAATGCCATAGGATTGATGCTGATCTAATCCCTGTGGGAATGCTGCTTCACAGAAGAAGAAAAGTTTCCTTTATAAACCTAGATTATAATACTACTTTAGAACAGAGATCCCTCCCTTCCAATGTGATTGGAAAGGAAATTCTGCTGTGCAACATCTTCATTAAACAATCATCATTAATGAATAATTACGACAGGTTTCAGGACAACTGTTTGCAGCAATTCCTCTATGTATGAATTTTTCCATGTAATGTGGAACCTACAGTGTAACTGTAGGCTTGGGCACAGTATTACATCATAAAGATCATGAGAATAAGATCTTCCAAAGCTTCATTGAAGATCCCGAGGACTGCCTGCTCAATCATGAGAGACAAGGCAATAATATTCACTGATTCCTCCATGCTGGGTTCAGTTCCAGTGATCTACTTTGCATAAAATTTTGATATCATCTCATTTAGCATCATATACTTAAATTATACTACTCTTGCAACTTATCCCTCAAATACACATATATGCTCACAAAACAGTGTCTTTTTAAATAGGGCTATAGATCTTTCTCCACTGCCAAGTTGAAGTGCTCTCTACTGAAAGTATATCAATCTATAATTAGCAGTCCCCACTGCTAATTCCTATCCTTCATCTATAACCATTCTCTAAAGTCAGTACTATCATCTGGCTGTCATTGAACTAAGTCTAACAGATTTTTTTGCATTTTGTGGTTGCCCTTGATTGAGGCAGAATAAAGCAAAATATATTACTTTAAAACTTGCACTGCTAATCTGTATCACTCATGAGATGAGAACAGATGGACATAATGTTTGGGAATTGTATCAAAAGTGTATTGGTAGGTCATGATTGTTAAAGTATTAAATGTAAGTGGAGCCGGCCCTTGTCTCTTCTTAGAGTATGTTTCTGGAATTTTGTTTTTCTAAAAGTTAAGCAACTAAAAAAAGCCTAAAGAAAACAGTAAGAAGGTGAGGTGGGTGATGTCAGCAATAACAAGAATTTCATATGTAACATGTTGATCATCATGCAACATTTCTGATCCAGTTACAATGAAAACTCAATCTATACAAAAAAAAATCTCATAGTATTTTATACTCTCATCTCTTATTTAATTTACATCTCAGGTTTCTGTATAACTATCATGCAGTCAGAAAATAGTCAAACGTTTTAAGCTATTTACGTTTAAACGAGAACATAATTTTACTTTAAATAAAGGAGATTTAATCTTTGTATCCACCACCAAGAAAGTACTGAAGCAAGTGCTTCATTCTACAGAATATCTTAATGCAGCATCTTCACTTAATGTTTATTTGGCTGAAGAAACTTTGAGTTAAGACCCCATTTCCTGAATCCATAAACTTGCTACAAACTGTCAAACATTCCAACACTAATACAATTAACAAAATTACCCTCATGAAAAATGTGTACAAATAAGAATTTGCTTCCATATACACAACACTTTGTTAATGTACTCTCTTCATCTAGGATCTGAATCCAATTAATTATAATCAGTTGGAATAAAATTGTGGTTAATTATTATAAATTTAATTATTATAAATGCGATGGTTGTTCAGTTATTGGGCTTATAATACTAGAAATACCATGAATGTCCAGGTGGGTGGCAAATAAATGTTATAAATAAATAACGTGAAAAAGAATTCAAGTTTATATGGGGACTATTTGTAGTTCATGGTTGAAATGAGGGGTCCTTGGTGCTCCCTAAGCTTGGTTGTTTTCTTGCAGACATTTCATTATCCCAACTAGGTAACGTCATCACTCTACTCTCTGTTGAGAGTGGGACTTGGGAAAAGTCATGTTCTTATTGGTGCTACGTGTACAATCATGCACAATCCAGCACATTATTTTTCCCTTTGCAGGCAAAGCATTACATAGCTCTGTTGCAAATTCAAAGTGCACATTATATGTTTGTTCTAGATAAACACTGGAAAATGTTGTTCTAGTGATGTCTGCTTTCCTCATAACATCAATGTTATTGCCTGTAAAAGTAAACGTGCCTTGTTTCCCTTATTAGTTAACACTCTGTGCTCTGTCTCATGTGAAACCTAACGTGCATACAAAATACAAGCCCTCCTGAAAACAGCAGGACACTACTGTCATGTCAGTCAAAGCAGCAGGTGGCAAAGATCATTAAGTGTATCAGTGTGAGTTTTAGTAAAAAGGGGGGACATGGATAATATAAAAGAATTTGGGAATTTGGAGCCAATGGATTTTTTAATTTAACTAAATTTAGTGTAATTTAGTACAAATAAAAAACTGTTAATGCTGTCTGTATTGGATTATAATTGGTTAAAATATTACTACTTCTGCCTAAACCACTATATAAATAAGTCATTCATGAACAAAATGAAAAGCACGATTTGGCCACCAAAATCACTAATATGAGATTTAGAAATTGATTTAAGATGTTCACGAAATCAAACATATTTGCTAAAAACCATTTATTTAATAGTGAAGCACAGTGACAACTGAAACATTCAACTAAACACAATTTTATAGAGTACAGAAATAAAAAATAGGTGGGAACAGACTTCCACCAATTAATTGTCCCTTATAATTAAGTGTTGGTATATAGAACATGCAGCTGCTGGATGCAATTTGTCATTCCATGGCCAAACAAATAATCTGTGATCAAATAAGAGTTATCTCCTTCACTATTTCCTTTGGATGGAGATTTTCTTCACTCACTACTATTCGTCAAGGTTACTCATACAGAATAATTGCTCTTCAGAATTAAAATTTCCATTTGTAAAAATTTCTCAGAAATGAAGCAAGTTGTACTTCTGGCGCACTGTACAAGTCTACACTACACAGGATTATAAATATTCATTCAACAGTTCATCTGTTAAACAGACATATGATGTAATTGGACTAAAACAGAGATGAATGCCAATTTCATATATGAGTATTTATAGGTTAAAGCTTTTGAATCACAAACAAAAATGGGCATGGTTCATCGATGGAAATTTGTATACATCCTATCATAAAGTTTTCCTGCACCAATGAAGCACATATCTTTGCTCAGCATTAATATTTGTAAATGCTGGATTTTTTCATCAGTCTTTAAAAATGGTGTATGTGTGTGAAAAATATATTCACTGTAATATATAGTTTTGTTGCATTCACCAATAAATGGTTAAGAGTATTATTTTTAATATTATCCCTAGGTGGCAGCAAGAGGTCTTAAATACCAAACATTACTGTTGCACACCAAAATCTTTTGTCCTAGATACTGTCTAATTCTCCCTTGAGGCAGAGAAGAGACCCATTTTATTTCTTTAAAAATATTTCTTTGAAGTGTACGTTCATAATGCATTAAAATGGACAAGGTATTCTAAGCACATAGTCTGAGAAAAGTTCTATTTCACACATTCAGGAAAAAATATAGAATCACATAAACACAAAGAAATTAGAAATGAAAGTGAAGTGCTGAAAACATGAAAAAAAAACTGAAAAGACCGGGAAAATATTTTTCCAAGATTAGAATTTTATGTTGTCTGTTTTCTTAAACAATGAGGATATATATCCTTTTTTGTCTGTTCAATCATGTTTGTTCCTTGGAGAACAAGTTCTTGCATTTTTCTCTGTAAGGTTTTCAGAAGTGGTTTGCCATTGCCTCCTTGCTAGGACTGAAAGTGATTGGCCCAAGGTCACCCAGCTGGCTGTGTATAAGATGGGACTAGAGCTTGCGGTTTCCAGGTTTGTAACCTGATACTTTAACTACTATATCAAATTGGGTCTCTTATAATGCTATATAATGGCTAAAGTTGTAACAAAGGGAATATACATTATTGCTACTTATTTATTACTACTTCTCTATCCCATCATCTAATGCAGTATTTCTCAATCTTGTTAAATTTATGAAGCGTGGACCTCATCTCAAAAGCCAGAATTTTTCTAGTCAGCATGTTGACTGGGAAATTCTGGGAGTTGAAGTCCAAACTTCTTAAAGTTGCCAAAGTTGGGAAACTCTGATCTAATATCACGAGAACTCTGAAATTCTACTATACAAAGCCAACAATGAATCTAAATGGACTAATAGTTTGCAATCACATAGGGCAGCTTCTTCACAAGGTTATTTATTCAAGGTGGCCTGCTATAAGCTTTTCACAATACAGCTAGTTCTCTTGTAACAAATTATGAATTTATGGGGTAGGAGGAAAAGATATGCATTTTAGCTATTCATAAACCTGATTTTCCTTTAAAAAAAATACAATACAATACAATAGCAGAATTGGAAGGGACCTTGGAGGTCTTCTAGTCCAACCCCCTGCCTAGGTAGGAAACCCTATACCGTTTCAGACAAATGGCTATCCAACATCTTCTTAAAGACTTCCAGTGTTGGGACATTCACAACTTCTGGAGGCAAGCTATTCCACTGATTAATTGTTCTGTCAGGAAATCAATGTCATGCCCTAGCTGAATCTAAGGGAATGCTTTTATTTCAAATATGAATCCATTAAAAAATAAAAAAAGGTTTACATTTAAATTTTCCATAGCTGAAAAGTTTGCAGTAGCCTTAAGCATTATTCACCTGCCAAATTTTCTAAATTTAATAATACAATCTGCACTGCCATTAATTATTCATTTATTTACTTACTTACTTAGTTACTTATTTTTTTATTTCTTAACTGCCCATTTAACTTAAAGATGGACTCTGGGAAGTATATAATTTAATCAATAAGATTAAAAGGCCTATGCAAAAATTAAAAAGGAAACAGATTTTTGGAAGTGTGCATGGTGACCCCCCTAAACTAAACATGTCATTTTCTTCTCTGCAAGCCCAGGAAAAGATGCAGGTTCTTTAAGGTCTAGCTGTCAGGCACTAGGAGCCATCTGTGTCCCAATTATTATTTTCCCCTCTGAAAGTAGATTGCTGCAATGGCCTAAAATAAATACACACACAGCACATGAAACCACACACAATCATTAAAATGAAAGCAGATTGTCCTTAATTTTTAAAGATTTGTTTTTTAAGGAAACAATTATGTCTGCTCAAACCTATTTTTCCTGCATCAAGATGTTTTCCAGAGGGGAATAAACTAGCCTTTCTCTAACCTTTGCAAGAGTTTCTTAATTAATTGAAAGAGCAGTCAAAACAATGTATTTTTGCCTTTTTGTTTTATCTACTTCTGCTTTGTTTTTAAAAAACATCTGCTTTGTTTAAAAAAAACAAGGCAGGTCAGTAAAACAAAAAGGCAATGTTTCTTCTATTTCCTATATGGTGTCATTTCCATTTTTGTTTTTAGCAACAGTGAACATATTTCTTTGTTCATTAGGCACACAGCCTCTATTCACAGAAGACAAATTCTTATTTGGGATTGAGATTAAAAAATAAAGCCTCAATTATGGATAAAACTTGCTTTTCTCTCCAATTAATTAGTTCACCTATAGAGGAACCTCAGAATGCCTGTCCCAAGTCTTTTGGGTCTAAGAATGATATTGCAAACAAACCCTTTTTAAAAACTGTACACATTGATTGATTTCAAAGACAGCAAAAGTATTAACCGATCTTTGATAATCTTGGAAAGTTAAATACAGTCTAATCTAGTTAGTACAGGCCAGAGCTGTAAGCTAAACTGTAAAGTTAAAAAGTACATGTAAGGCATTGGCAAAACCCTTTCCATATATAGCTGTCAAGGAAACAGGATCAATACAACCATGAAGTATGAGGTAAAGATGAAATCAGTATTGCTGATTTCATCTTTACCTTCAAAGCATTACTAATGTATAAATACTGTCCATGTTTCAGTCTAGTCATCAGTTCCAGGAACGAAACCTACCTCCCAAATAACAACATATTTTGATATATCAATTAGCATAAAGTGAAAACCAACTTTATTAAATAATATGGAGATTCATCAGAGACTATTGCTATTATTTCCTTTCCTTAGCCCTGAACAGCTGACAAGCAAGAAAATTAACTCTTGCCACCAGGTGTCCCCAAATTGTACTGAGGATAGAAATTCAAGCAAGAGCTGAAGTCCCAATGCATATGGAGTGTGCCAAGTGAAGAAGATTAAGAAAACTGATACAAAAGCATTGCTTCCTGTACCTGAGGAAAATGATATGTAAAAATTTAAACTCACTGGTTGTAAAGAGTCCTCTTGCCTCCTGCTTTGGCTCTGACAACTGATGAAGGACCTTGTTGACCCCTTATAATGATTCAGCAAGCAGATGATCACTACTATCATAACAGTTATCACCACTATGATGATGATAATCTGAATAAACTCTAGTTCCGCTGTAAGGAAAAGAAAAAAGATATCATTTAAAGCCAGAACAAGAAACAGCATTTAACAAAACCCCAATAAATTTTCAAATACATATAAATTGTACAATGTGCCAAAGAAAAATATATATTCTGCACAGTAATGAAAATATTCCCAAGATGCAGAAGAAAAATAATTGTTTATGGATAGTTAAGTACTAAATAGCACTGAAATAGCAGAGATGAATTGTTTATGTCTTCAGCATTGAGATTTGCCCCTCTTCAAAAGTCAGTTTCCACCATGCTTTGAGTTTTGATCTATAATAGTACACATCTTACAATTCAATGTAATCAGGCCTTCTTTTAGAAATGATTTCATCAAGTTTAGCTCACACAGTAATTAATGAAACAGACATAGATCAAGCACATAATAAAAGATAAAAAGCTTAACTGTAATGGGATAATTATTGTAACATCTACATCTACAATTCTTATTGCATTTAGAAAGTATATGGTAAGTATACTCAAGTAAGGTAATAATAGGACTGTAAAAACATATCCTTCAAGGCAGAAAGAAAGAGACAGATATTAAAATACTATTTATTATTGCGACAAATCATATACCTCATGCTATGTAAGGAGATAGCAAAAGTGGCCAAAACTGATATACTCTCATGCTGTTTTGTTAAATTGTACCTTTTAAAAATATTCTATAAAGCAAACAAACACAATCTTCATGCAAATGTTTCTACAAGTAGTTCTAAGGATTCTCTCTGGCTATGTAAAAATATGCTAAGTATTTCAATATTAGTATGTAATATTAGTAATTAAAAAGAACAGATAACAGAAGACAACCATTCTAATATTCTATTATTATTGCTATTTTACTCATACGTGCAACCAGGTATTTCTGCTATCATTTTATAGTGGGAGATTAATAACTAGAAGGATTTGGTTTAAGAAAAACAAATCCTTAATGTGCAATGCTCTTATTAAAGGCAATAACAACCCAAATGATCAAGGATTGCCTTTGCTTGATTGGTTTTGTTTTGTTATTTCAGTGAAATCACAGTGATGAGAAATTAACCTAGAAAGTCACTGTGGTTTTTCAAAGTCACAATGCCCCTAAAAAAGACTAAGATTTTTTTTAAAAATGCCCCTGGGCATTATAAATGTTTTCCTTTTGGAAGACATAATTGCTTTACACGCCTTGGATTCAATTACAGCATCAATTAAAATTATGGCACTTTGGGACAAACCAGTCGCATCATTAATCTTGAAGAATCACACCTTTAGCTGTTAAAATTAACAGAAAAAAGCACATCAATGACTGATAATATACTTGTTCATATGTGTCAGAGCTTTTCAAAATTCAAGCCTTTGTTTGCCTACATATACTAGAATTCTGCCATTTTTCAACCAAAAAATATATTTGACCATTGCCAAGATAACAATAATGTAACAAAAATGGTTAATCAAATGGTAAATTAAAGGAAAAATGCACAACATGTTAAATATTATCATCTCTTGCAATAAATTCTGTAATTCATAAATATTGTCATTTTCTCAAGAGGAATGTCTAATTTAAATGCAAAACATTCCAATTAATTCTAAAAAAATAATTATTAAAAAGTACAGAGAAGAGTGTATCTGCATTTCTTTTCTTATAAGTTGGGGTTAGTAAATGTAAAACAGAGTGAAGTATTTTTTCATTCAGAATTGTTTCTAATAATTTGGGAAAGAATAAGAAGTAACACCTTTAAAAAGAGTATTGGTCAACATCCTCTCTATCAATAGAGAAAAGTATAAATGGGTTAACACTGAAATGTTGAAAATGTTAAACCTATCAACATTTTCAATAAGGGCACATGTTCTAAGTCACATTTCTTGAATAGACGACACAGTGCAGGAGATCATATTTCTATATTGTAAATTATTTACACGCTTAAAGCAACTTTATGTATAGTTTGAAGAAAAAATATATTAATCATTTATCCTCTTCTGCTATACAAGACACTTTCTCACAATAATCTGTATTAGCTAGATACAATTTTACTCCAGCCACTTATAGATCTCTATTGCTTTGCTCAAGAACTTTGTATGGAACTGAACATTTTATTTTTTCTTCAGGCCCTTATACTTTTAATTAGTGACAGGAAAGTACAAAATGTTCTCTTTGATTCTGTATCATGTAAGCCCTCTCTCTGCTAGAAGACAAGTTTCAGTTTTAAAAGGTACTATCTCTGAACTAAAGGCTTTCCAAATATTAAATAATTTAAAGGCTCATAACTCAACAGTTGAGCCAGCTGCATTATTGTGAAACAGACATGAGTAACTTTAATGTAGTTAATTTAGCTTTCCTAGAAATACAGTGATAGATGGAATACCATTACTTCTGCATCTGCCAAAAGTGTAGCTTTCTAAACTAAATCAAGACCTCTGAATATTTTTACAATAGAGCATTTCTTCTTTTTACAAGAAAGCATTTCCTCTTTTTGTCTGAACATTACCATGATACACAAAAACTTATTTAATTGCAAGTGCAAGAAGGGGAGGAAGAGAATCTCTAGCCAGGAAATTTGGGTTACAAAATAATTGGTTTTACAAATTCTATTTTACAAATTATACAAAGATGCTTTGGTCCTTTCTTTCCTTTTCTTTTATCAAACTCACAATGATCCATTCAGCTAGGAAACATTAGAGGGCATCAGCTTAAGTGTAAAAACTTACTGATCCTGCATAATTCTTCATTAAAGCAACTATGTTAGAAAAGACACATATTTGCAAAGATTTGCTAAAATATCTGGTGGCCTTTGGGAAAACAGAAAAAGTGAAGCTGAAAATAAAAAAGTAAATAAACGAAAGGCCAAAGGTACAAATCAAGATAATTCTTCTAGATTTCAGTTTTGATGTTACTCTAATACATTTTTGCACTGCTCATTGGTCTATAATAAATATAAATCCTTGATATACATAGGCATTCTCACCTATCAGCATGCATTAAAGAGGAAATAGTTATTATATACTTTATTCATTAAACATGAAACTCAGTCAACTGAGCATTCAAAAATGCATCACAATTGCATTTTTAATAAAAATGCATTATTATTGTTGTTATTATTATCTCTTTTATTCATTAATAAAAGAGATAATAATTTATTTATTCATTTATGCAACTCAGTCAACTGAATATTAAAAAATGTGTCACAAATGCCATTGACTGGTGCTAATGGTTGATGCGGGTTGCTGCCTACTATCTTAAAATATATGTTGTTATTATTTATTGTTATAATTTATTTACTTACTTAATAAATTATTTGTTTTCAGCTGCCGTTATTGTAAACAGGGACGACTAAAGCGATTCATCCTTTCCTCCAGACAGTCTGGGAAACCTCTCCCCTGGGTTCCTTGCCGACGGCCATACAGTCTGGCTTTAATGCCCAGCTAAGTAAGTCCAGAGCATAAGGAGAGAGGCCACATTGCCCATTTCTGAATTAGGGGCCCAGGTGTGGGGGGGTGTTCCCTACCGTTGCCCCAGACCTATGCCCAGAACTACAGAGAGACATGATTACCGGACGAAAGGAAGCACCGAGGCACCAGGACAATTAAAAGCAGACTTTCAGAAGAGATTTCAAAGCGGGGGCCAGGCGAAGAAAGAGCGGGGTTGCTAGAAATACCTCTGTGAAAAAGCAGGTCTTTCAACCGAGCATCTTTCAAAGTGGTAGCGTTAAGCTCCTCGGCGGGCATCCTCGGGCGCTTCTCCGCTCGAGCGGGAGCCCTGCGGCGAGCAGAGGAGCATCGCTTCGGACTTCAAGCCTTCGCTCGCCTACTAGGCAGCGGCGTCTCTCGTCCTCCGCGCCCGGCAGCACGCCTTAGACGCTACTCGGCCGTGTAGGGCTTCCGAGAGTCGCTGACCCGGAGGAGAATCAGGGGCCCAAACGAGGAGCCGGGGATGGCAGGAAAGGAAGGCGGAGAGGAAGAGATGCTTCTTCTCGGGGGCCTTTCATGCTTCCCGGACGGAGGCGGAGCCCTCGAGACGCCTCTAGACCGCCTTAAAAGCTACCGACCGCGGGGCTAAAGTCAAGGCAACGCGGGCCGATCTCGCCGGGGAATAAACCGCGCGGTCCCCGAATTAAGAGCCACCCGGGCGACAAGAGCCCCGTTCAGGTGGGTTTTTTAAAGGCTGGAGAAGGGAGGTCTTCGATCAGAAAGGTCGGCAGTTCAAATCCCTAGTACAGGTCTCCTGCGTGAGCAGTGGGTTGGACTAGATGACCTCCAAGGTCCTTTCCAACTGTTACTGTTCACTAAGGGAGATGGGGGGGGGAGTTGAATAAGGAGTGAGGGGAAAGTGAAGCGAGGGCGACGCCGCTCTTACCAACTTCCCGCCTGCAACCGCCTCGCTTGCTGCTTTCGGCCAAAGCCCAGCGGAGACTTCGCCAGCCTCTCTTTTACCTTCCGCCTGTCTGCTCCGACGTGACGTGCGTCACTGCGAGCCCCCGGGCAGCTCGGGGATGGCAGGAGCCGCTCTAGGAAGAGCCTTGGCGGGGCTCCCTCCCCGCTCTCTGGCGATTGGGAAATGCTCGCACGTGTCCCCCGCCGGCGGCTGGGCGGCGCGCGGCTGAAACCCGGCGTTCACCCAGCAGCTGCTCTTCGCTTGCTAAGGGAAAGATCGCGGCAGCCTTCCGTCCCGTCGGCCGGCCGGTATTTGTACGAAGCGCTTTGGGAGATTAAAAGGATAGTTTGGCTGCCTGCCGAGCTTTGAGGCAATCTTTTCGCCTTTCCGCCTTTTTTTAAAAAAAGGGTGGGGGTATAATAGACGCAAGTGTGTTTCCGTGGAATTGTGAATAAAATATTATACATACACACGCACGCACAAACACACACACACACATACATACGAATAAAAATTATATCTGTTATCTTATACATGTTTGACAAAATAAATAAAATGTATGAATCTGCGACCTACCAATTCCACTCTCCAGTTTGGAACAAATAATCACGACTTCTGTATGTAATTATATATAGTCCTCTCTAGATCATGGACTCGCATGTGATGAGAGCCCTAAGCCATTAAAAGTGGATCTCTGTGCACAGCCTCATTTAAATTCCGTTAAACAGCAGATAAAAATGATTTGGATTCAAACACCTAATCAAGACACACAGCTGTCATTTTTCTTAGTATAATCTAACATAATTTATGCCAAGCATAGCTATATAATGGTCCCTGTTTTTTAGGCCTCCAGAAAGTATAGTATAGGGTTTGGCACCATAGACTAATGGTTTTTCTTCTACAAAGTCAAAAAGAATAGTTTTGAATAAGCACAGGTGGAATTAAAACAACATGCTGTCTTTTACAAGAGAGGAAAAGTGGAAAAATTATCCTACATGAAGGTCTGAGAGATTTGTAACAGACTACTACAGTACCACATCCATCTTTTTAAAAACATACTGTTGTTTATTTATTTAGCTTTGTGAGATTGATCTCTATCAAGTTGGGGGGAGGTGGAGAGTATTGAATAGAAAGAATTTCCGAATCACAGACTTCTCAAGCATTCAAACAGACAGTAGCGTTATTGAAATAATTTAATTTTTTCCTTGTTATATTACGGTTAATCAGAAAACTAGCATACATTATAAGGGGCCAAACCCCTATAGACTAGATTTAAGTAGTGTCATCAGGAACTACCAAGGGATTATCCTATGGCAGGAAGGGGTCTGAGATATGAAGATAAAGTGATGTGTGACTCCAGCCACACTGGCACATGTCCCATAGCCATCCATGCATCAAAGGCAAGGTGAGCTCTGAAAGAACGCCTGTGTCCCTCTGTCTGGCTGCCCCCCCCCCTCTCTCTCTCTCACACACACACACGCACACACACACCTACTATATACAAATTTCTCCTGCTTTCCAGTTGATCATGCTGGGCATTAATTTCCATCTACTGGTCTTTAAATTCTATAGATACCACATGAAAAAAAGTTTTGGCAGCTGTAGGGAAACTGAACTCAATCTACCAGTGTCTTATCTTTTCTCTTATGGCCAGGGGAAATGGAAGTCAGGTGAGGTTATACAAATATTTTTTACTTTTCAAAATTTATGTTTTAATGTAAGAGGCCTAGTCAGGTGCTAAGGAATGTCTCGAGTCTTGCAAACACATTACAGTTGATTTCAGGGCTAGATAAAATGAAGAAGAGGAGAAAACATTTTAAAAAGAAACGAAAGAAATGTGACTGTTCCTCTTTTTATCGTTTCAAATAATATTTTAGTTTTAATGTGATTAGGTGTGAGCAAGTAAACAGATGGCAACAGCTTGAAGATTAGAGACAGAAGCCAGAAGAAATAAGTTTGGAAGAAGGATTTAAAATGAAAGTCGTGTTTAGGCATTTTTATTAACTCAGCATTAAAGCTTCTTTTTTAAAAATGATATTATTAATAACTACTTTAAAAACTAGCATATTTTTTTAAAAAAATAATCTTTCCAAGGGCTTGACTTAAAATCTTATTTCATAGATAAACACAGCTGTGCTTGATCCACACCATCCACATGGATCCACCCACAGGCTATATACTTCCATGAAATGCTTCATCTGGCTGAGACCATTATGCTTTGCAGAAAGAATGAACCCCACCCTTTCAAAAGCTATTTTAAGATTAAGATTGAGATGTATCCACATGGACACGGAAGATCAAGTTTTAAAATCTTATTTTATCCACAGATGGCCTTCCCTTTTAGAACAATTTACTTCATTTATAAGTACAGAAATGAAAAAGAAGTTCTATTTACTATCTGTCAGAATTAGTAAAATTTAATTTGTAAATATATACTGAAAGTTCTAACTTTGCAAATGAGAATAATATGCATACACTCCATATCTATTTTCAAAATTCACAATAATGTTGAGATTATATA